GCAAATCTTTTACATTTTTATTTAAAAACAAGCTTCTCAGTGGGCTAGAAGCAGGATCAGTCATCTGCTGTTGCACTGTTTCATACTGATCAGTATCTGAATGGGACATGTTGTTAAGTATCAAATCACCTGGAAACAGAACTATTAAAGTTACAGCTCAGATGTTGCATCATGTATCGGGAAAGCTGTAAAACTTCTCTCCTCTTTTTCTTTGTTTTCCACATATAGACTTTTTGTGCCAAATTTAGCCGTGTGTATGTTTCCTGCACGCTAAGTGGTGTGACCGTCACCATAGCAATGACTTTCTCTGTGTTTCCTAACAAGCCTGGTGTCAAACCACCCCGGAGTCCAGCGGGACTGGAAAGACCAACAAAAGGCTGCAATATATTTATGTGTGTCGGAGGCTTCACCATGAACAAAAGAGGAAAATTCCAGCCAGGGAAAGGTGAACAACAGAAACAATATCCACTCTGAAATGCAGCAGTTTCCACAGATGAGGTAATGCAAGCAGTCCTCTCCCCCCAAACGTTCTATATTACACTTAAAAAACAAACAAACAACTTAGTATGCAATCCCAGTACACCACGGGTTAATTCCTAATCTCAGTGCCAACAAACACCAGCTAGCTCTACTCTATGTATACATGCTGCTTTCTCTGCAAGCTCTTTTGCAACCCACCTCCAACCACAGCTCCTCATTCAAGTCTTGTCTGCTGTCACTTTTCTTTGTAGCAGGGTGCTGCTGCAACCATACAGTCCCTGGCCACTTTATTAGATACATTTATCTAGCTGCTTTTTAATAATGTAATTATCTAAACAGTCAACCACATTTCAGTGCATTTAGGGATGAATAACATGACCAACTCTTTATGATCACAGTGTAGTCATCTTCTGTTAGCTGCTTCCAAAATGCACTATGTTACAAAGCTCAGACCATCTAAACCTGGTTTCTTGAACACGACAATGATTTCACTGTCACCAGATCTCAGTCCAATAGAGCACCTTTGATATGATGGATGTACAGCCGATGTACAACTCTGCAGCAACTGTGTGACGCTCTCATCTGAATATGGACCAAAATCTCAGAGGAAGGTTTCCAGCACCTTGTTGAATCTGTGCCATGAAGAATTAAAGGCAGCACTGAAGGCAAAAGTCCAACCCAGTACTAGCAAGGTGTAACTAATGAACTGGGAAGTGATATCCTTCACTGGCTGTTCTAGGTAAATGTGTACGTGAGCATGCATGTCTGTGTGTGTGCTTGTTTCAAAACAGGTTCTGGAGAGAAAGTGAAACCCAATGCTTCATCTTTAAGGTTTAGTGTTAATGACACACACATAACACACCTCACCGCATGTGTGTGTCTGCAAAGGAGGGAAAGAGGAGCTCGTGGACGGAGCACAGACACCTCAGGTGTGTGCTGAGGTAAGACGACGCAGCTTAACCTAAACTGCTGATGCTGCTGTCCTTGAAGCCTTTCTTCTGCTCTCCCAGGAGCAGGCACAGGCAGTAGGATCACTGTTTCTGCTAGAGGCTTTCTACACAGTCTAGTGGCTGCTATTGTGCCAACAGGCCAAAGATTTTAGGAGAGATGGAAACGAATATTGTTTCAGAGACCAAAAATAAGCTACTTTCTTCTGATCTTCAATCAAAGAGGTAGAAAAACAAAATGCCTTTAATGTGGTTCTGTAATTCAGTTACTCACTTTAAGTGGGCAAAAGTAGCTGAAAGCTGAGAACGGTGCTCAGTGATAGTGACACTTCTCTCTAATGCTGAAAAGGGCAACAAAACAGCCGTTACCAGGCAAAGGTGTCATGATCTACTTATGTTAGGAGAGATTTGATGAACACAAAAAAATTGTCTGCTTCTTCATTTTTTTTTGTTTTTGGTCATATATATATATATATATATATATATATATATATATATATATATATATATATATATATATATATATATATATATATATATATATAGAGGATATTGATTTAGAATGCATGCACACACACAGCCAGTCCATCCATCGCTCAGCCGTCGCCCTCTCGACTCCTTCTGCTGTACCACAAATCAAGAGAGAAGTAAACATGAGAGGAATGCAAAGGAAAAAAGCAACCTGGGGGATGAGCGGCCATAAAACAGAGGGAAAATACAGACAGTGTCATGTAACCTGGGGAACACATGCACAAACACACAAATCCCTCTCATGGGGATATTTATTGGGGAAATGTGAAAGTAATTACAGTTGCAGAAAAAAGTTTATGTCATGTTTCTTACGCATGTAGCGATTTTAGGCTATTAGACCTGCATGATCTGTGGCTGTCGAAGCTTCTATTCGTTCAGCAGACAAGGGGATATTAAAAAAAACACAAGCTGTAATAAAAGTTTGGCATTTGACGGACATAGTTTGAAACTGAACTGATCATGGCCCAGATTTTCCCTTTGCAGCTGACACACTGGGACCTCCTACACCTCCCCTCCCATCCCCTAACAATAATTTTGTGATTTTTGTTGCTGTAAATAAAAAGTACAGTGCTCTCACTGAGTTAGTTAGCAGTAGGTTCCAACTTTGAAACCCATTTTGAGCCATACTTGTCTACGTTTAGGAAAACTGGCACCATTGAACAGGCATGAAGTGAATTCCTGTTCTTTTTGGATAATTTTCGTATTGAAGAAAACATAGGATCTTTCTCAAGTCCTTTTATGTTAATATGTTATTTTAAAGGTGTTTTTTTCGTGGATTCAGAGGTAAGTCTATCTATTTTAGGTCACAATGCAGCTCTGACGTCGCCTCATCTGTCCTTTCTCCCATCGTACAGCAGGAGGAAACTGTCTGTGGCAGAGTTCTGAAAACTAGAAGGTGTGTTTGTTGGTGAGGGGCAGCGCATGGGTTCAGGAGCCAGGGCACTCTTTTCTTACATGTGCTCATTTGGACATTACACTGAATTTTCATTGGGAAGCTAGCATGGTATTATTCCTGAAATCTGGTACGTACCCAGCTTCACCAGGTAATAGCTCGAAAATGAACAATGTACGTGTGCAAAACCGGCTATAGCTTGAAATTTGTGATTTTCACTGAATATACAAACATAATCTGCACAAAGTGAACTGAAAGTGCAAATTAAAAACACCAGTAACATAAAACAGCTTGGGGGTCAGGTATCCAATTAAAAAAAAAACATCCCCAGCAGGAGGCTAGACCCTGGAAACACACTGTGTACATGCACAACCACCCTCACTGCTATACTGGTACATGCACAACCCATCTTTCTCCCTCATTGTGTGACTCCTTTGCACTGCAAAGAGGAGAGAGCACTTCCTGAAACTTCTTCTTCCAAAGCTCAAGGTTAGCACTGGCTGTGGTTCCTTCTATCTGCTCTGTCTCTAGTTCCCTCTCCTACCTTCTCTTAAAAAAGTGAAACCTATGAGGAAATTTGCTTAGCTCAGCGGTCTGGCTCTCCTGCTTTGATGAGCAAAAAGAAACTTTTACAAGAATCAAAAACAAAGAATTGGGAGGAGTATTTTACTATGTATTTTTATAGTTTATTCTTGTCTCGGTTATTCTGTGTTTCTTCGGTGGTCTGTGTGTTTTTCCCCTCCACTTTCATTGTTGTAAACACCAAACAAGGGGACGTGCTGCATCAGCAGGCTGTGCCAATAGTCTGCATATGTGTGAGGGAACAGCTTCCTTTGAGAAGTCCGATTCTTTGGAGGCTCACAGGAATCAGTCAGGCCACAGAGGAACTCTTCATTGCGCCAGTAAAAATAGAAAGAAGCTGATTATCTGTCACGGTGCCTGAGCAAATGTGAACTGTTGATACATCAACAGGTTTCCTTCGTTTTTTATTCGGAACCACAGATGCCTTTTTTTGGCTCATCTTGCTGAGCTTTTCTTCAATTCTTTCATTAGACTCATTAAGACAGAAAAGAGAAACGAGAGACCGCTGAGCAATTCCTGAACCGAGTACTAGGATTTCTCCCCACAGGTCAAAGCCAGAGCTGGACAAAAGACACACACACGCAAACACACGCATCCAAGATTTAACTGATTGGGCCTGTCACTGCTCTGGTAGAAGGACTGCCTGAGTGCTGCTCACATATTGGCAAGGCAAGCCTAAGTGAAAACACATGTTGTGTAAATGCAGAGAATAGAAGTTGAGCCTCGGCCTCCCCCCAATAAAGACCATTTGAAACCAAATCCGATCAGATCTCAGAGCGTTCCAGGAGAGACAGAGCGGGCGGAAACGCTTCCTGTTTTTCAGGACAAAGGGGAGTAATAATAAGCAGTGAATCCAAAAAAAAAAGAGAAAATAAAAAGTATCGAATGCTTACTACAGGTTAGGCAACCAACTGTGACAGCGATCCTGTAACTGTCCTGTAAAAACACTCGATCTACAACCTTTCAAAATATAGGCAGGTCATTATTTTTCATGTATTGCAACTTTTTTATTTTCAAGATTTCTGTGGATTTTCTTTTTGCAGAGTTACTACGTTGCCTGGTGCCAGATTCCTAACCTCTGACCTTTCACATCCTCTTTGACCTCTAACACAACATCTGGAATGCTTCACCCGCATTCATTGCATTCACACGTAACAACGCAGACTGTGGAACCTGAATGTTATCTACGTATCTGATCAAAAACTGGCAAAGCGACAAGAAAACAAGTCTAGGGTGAAAGCATGCTGAGGAGAGTCTGTTCAAAGTGATGACTCAGTCACTACCTTCCATCTGTTCTAATGCAAAGTGCGTATTTTTAACTCTCGGGTGTGTTCAAGCAGACAAATCTCTAAGAATTTTCTATGATGACTGGCTCGAGAAGCTTGACAGTTATTTGTGGGTTTACTGGGGAGCTGGTTCACACTGAAAAAAAGAAAACACACTCTTTCTGTAAGTTTTAAATTCTTTTGTTGTTAGACAGATATCTCCTTAACAAGCCTGGAAACACACATATTAGTGCTTTAGTAAGCGTGTAGTGTGACCATTGTGATGATCCAGCACGTCCTTACCTTCTTTGCAGCCTTAGACGGTGACCTCCTAGTGGGCTTCTGCACCTGGTCGCTCACTGTGACGGGCTGCTTAGACAGAGAGCCGTTCTCCCGCTTCTTGGAGGGGGAAGATGGTGTTGACGATGGTGCTGGAGAAGGAGACACAGGTGGAGAGGAAGAGGAGGAAGGATTTCCAATTCTAAGGACGGCCATATCCTCTGTTGCTGTGAGGCGCAGGCTGCGTAGGCTTTCATAGGTCTCAGAGTCAACCACCAGCAACCTGGTCTTGTTGTCCATGGCCTTAATCCTCTGTACCACCTGAGGAATGGAACATCGAACGTTTGGTTTGAATACATTAAATTCTCTACAGTTTGGCAGCAGATAATTAAATGCTACTCCTATGAAGGATTAGTCCCAATCCATCCATCAAGGACTTGTTTAATATATAATTACTGACCATTATATTAGGCTGTATACACCTTTTAACATGCAGGCCTGTGATTTGCATCTTTATTTTAGGAAAAATGCTGTATAAGCAACGTTTTGAAAAAGGCGATGGCTCTAGGTTTTTGGGGTATGTGTGTTCCTTTAACTGAATTTCTTAACATAACTTTGTATTTATTTGGTTCTTACTGTTTGACAAAGCAACTGTATCAACTGATCCATCAGTTTTTCTAACCATTTATTCCCATACATCTGTAGTGGGAATATAGTGGGAAGCGATGTTTTCAAAACTGACAATTATCATTGTCGTTGTTATAGATCATTGTCATATGAGCAGGAATATGAGGCTCCTTAGAAACACCTGGGTGGCAGATTTGTTCCCTGAACTTCAAACACAATAGTCAGAGGGTTTGTTTTCATCTTTCAAGCTGCAACAAACCTAATATACAGCACACAGAGAGGAGGCTGGTGCTGATCTTCCCCCGTGTGCCTGCAAGCTTGTGAAAATAATTATCTGAGCCTGCTGACTCTATCTGACCACCAGCCAGGCCTTGCAAATAGAGGAGCACACAGTTTGTTAAGATCTTATTTACAGGGACCGGTTTATATTTAAGCTCAGGCCACTGACTAGAGACTTGCTGATTTGTTGAATTTCACTAGGAAAAAAACTGCAAGGGAAGGAATACAGCCTGCTAAAGTTCTTGCTCAGCGCGCCCCTTGTTTCCAAACAAAATGTTTTGTAATTCAATAACCTGCAGACCTCTGGTCTGTGACGCCGAGTGGAGGAGGAGGCTATGCGCCACCGTGTCAGGATGTCTGCATCAGCCAGTGTCACCTGTTGATGTAGCCCCTGCTCAGCCAGCTAAGACACAAGTTAAATAATAAACACATCTACTTGCCTGATGGTGCGTCTCCTTCTCCACGTTTACTCCGTTCACTGCGACCAGCCTGTCACCGGCACGCAGCCCTGACGCTTCTGCGGGGGAGCCAGCCTCCACTTTGCGGATGAACTGGCCGCTCTTTCCTTTCTCGCCATGCAAGTGAAATCCATACCCGTTCTCCCCTTTTGTCATGACACAAAGCCGCGGTTTCCCCACTTTGGCCATTTCCCCCTTTGTCAGTTTAAAGCTTCTGAAGTGTTCAAGTAAAATATAGCAACAACAGCAACAACAATAATAATAACAATAAATGGAAATATTGGAGTTTAGGAGAGCGACTGCAGGGCTGCTAAACTTCTTGGAGAAAACATATCTGGCTGACACGCGCGCTCTCCCAGTACAAAAACACAAAGTGGAACAGCCACAGATGCGCTTCAGAACAAGAAGAAAAAGAAAAAAATAGTGCATGCAAGAAGCAGCAAAGTGTAAAACTTCAGGTAACGAAGCAACAGCAGCAGATCCTGTGTCTTGTATCCAAGCTGAAGCGCACGGCTCAAAGACTCCAACAAAAACCCGACGGGCGCGCACAGACTTCAGAGCCCCCGACAGCGCACCATTACTGTTACTGCAGACGTTGAATAGACTGCCGGGTCCTCTCCTCTCACTGGAAATTTCTCCATAACAACAGTTCGGAGAGCATACGCTGAGTACAGTTTGCTCTGGGTTAGAGCCGCGTGCGCAATAGCACCACCTCTTCCCAGACCGCTTACCTGCTCTCACTGTTTTGGGCAGGGAAGGAGGACTAAAAATGATACAACATTGCCCCTGGGTGGCAGGAAATGGTTTTGAACGGTGTCCTAAAAATAATGAAAACACCCAGCTATTTGGATTCTCACTCTCAATGCATCCAACTGGTAGCCTAATTGTAATGGGTCCAGACAACAGTTCATCTAAAGTTTCGGAGCCGTTTCATAACATATTATTATTCAAATAAATGTCATAACTGTGCTACTAAAATACCCACTAAAATCTAACTGATGAGCCCAAAGCTTTTAGTAAGTAGGCCGTTTCAAATACAGTATCCTTATACTATCCTTAATTAAGTATCCTCATTAATGCAGACCAGGGATGTCAAACTCATTGTACATTGAGAGTCTTGTCTAACGACTCTAACTGCACATTCATTAACTTAATATAAAACATAAGAAAGTGGAATTTCAACAGAATGCCTCAGTTTTTCTACATGTTAAAGAGATTCTGATGTTATAAATCAAATACATCTGTCAGCACGACTCTTTGGACTTTACAGACAAATTACTGGTGACTCATTGGCCAGACTATCCTGTAGCTGTAAAACAAAACAGCCCTTGTTATTACACAGATAAATTTCTATTTATTTATTTGTTAATTAATTTAACAGTGGAGATGTATAATAGTCACGGAGGAGATCTTTATTGGAAGGAAACGCTATAAAAATTATAAAAAGACAGTTGAAAGTCTACAATTGACCTCGGGCCTTATGTTTGCCACCCCTGATGCAGACCATCAAAAACGCCAATGGTATTGCTGTTTGAGATCTTTGCTAAAAAAATGAACGTAACACATTCATAATTACAGCCGTTGATTGAATTTATGTTGCGTTGGAGGGCGCAACTGTACTTCCTGTTGAAACCTTCACAATAAAGCAACCCAGTGAACGCTGGAACAAAAGCAAAACAAAAAGGATACAAGAAAAGAAGAAAGGTCATTTAAGTAAAAAATAAAAAAAGACAGAGAAAATATCCAGTGAGCAGCAGTTCTCTGAAGAAGGCAAGTAAAACAGTTAAGTAAATAAAATAGCACTTGTTACAACAAAGGTATGCAGAAGACAGCACTTTGTACCTTGATACAGATGGGCTACAGAAGCAGAAGACCACACTGACTGTCACTCCCGTCAGTTAAGAACAGAAAACTTGGGCTACAGTTTGCATGAGCTCAACAATACTGGACAATGAAATTTTGCCAGGTCCAATGAGTGTCAATTTCTGGAGGGTAGTGTCAGAATTTGGAATAAGCAACATGAAAACATCCATCCATCCTACCTTGTAGGCCCTATTGGGCCCCTTAGCACTAACTGAGCATCATTTAAATGCCACAGCCAACCTGAATATTGACGCTAACCATGTCCATCCCTTTACCACAGTGTGCCCATCTTGTGTTGGCTGATTCCAGCAGAATATTACGCTATGTCACGAAGCTCAGGTGATCTCACATGGCCACCAGAGTCGTTGGGTCTCAGTCCAATAGAGCAAGCTCGGGATGTGGTGAAACAGGAGGTTCACATCATGGATGTGCAGCTGACACATCTGCAGCAATGTTACAGTGCTATCATGTGAATATGGATCAAAATCTCTAAAGAATGTTTCCTGCACTGTGTCAGTCTACGCAATGAAGAATTAAAGCAGCTACAAAAGGAAAATTGGCACAACATAGTACTAACAAAGTGTATCTAATAAAGTGATTGGTAAATGTAAATACTGTAATTGAATGGCGACGAGTGTGGGGAACACACCCTGTCATATCAAAAACTCCACTGACTTCACAAACGAGGTCCAGAAACTTACCCTGGATCTACATGAAACCATCGTGTCCTTTGATGTGGTCTCACTCTTCATTTGTATACATGCAACTGAGGCAGTCAGAAAACAACTACAGCATCAGATTTGCACATGGTTAGACCTCTGCCTTATCACCACATATTTTAAATACAACAAGCACTTCTACAGGCAAAAGCTTGTACCATGGGCTCCCCAGTGTCACGTATTGTAGCCAACCTTTGCATGGAGGAAGTGGAAATTAAAGCTCTTGGCTCTTTCACAGAGACAGCGCCTAGCCCCTTAGAGATGGTGGCATGACAAAAAGACTGAAAGCTGATAGAAGTATTAAATAATTTCCCCTAGGGATCAATAAAGTATTCTGATTCTGAAGTAGAAGAAGATCTGTATTTTTAGGATGAATGATTTTAATAAATAATGTATATATACAACCCCAGTTGCAAAATAGTTGGGATGGTGGGAAAATGTAAATAAAAACAGAATGCAGTGACATAAAAATCTCATAACCGTTACTGATACCAACGACCTTCCCACTAACCAGGTGCTGTAGTTCATACTATGACAAAACGAGGGCGCTAAACACTCACATTTCAGTAATCGTTTAGCACTTGTCAAAGTAGAAACAACACCATAGTTACACTTCCGGTCACCCTTTAAAAAATAAATGCATGTTTTCAAAGGCTTAGAAACACAAAAGCAGACAAATATAAAAAAGGCGGTATGTTACTGAAACGAATCACACGGATAAATAAAGCAGTCTGTGATAAATACTGAGCAAACAAAATACTCACTGTGAACCTTTTAAAAAAAATAATTTTAGCCTATAACAAGTATTTATTTCAGCAGGAAATGTTTCTTTAGTGTGATTTCTAACCTGATGCTGACATGAACACCAGCAGGTTAGACTGATTTCCAGAACTAAAGAGTTTATCCCGTTTATTTACTTTTTTTCTCATCAGAAAGTATGCAGGTGATTAACTTTCACCTTTAATGGACTAATACTCATCCAGCTGGATCCAGTCTGAGCCCGCGGCCTTGAGTAATGAAAAACAGATGGTCAATCTCAGTTTATTACTCTTTGTATTGCCGTGGTACAACTGCTGTTGCTCATCTGCACATCCTTCACTTCACAGCGATGATTCCACTGAGTCGGAGCATCATTTCCTCTCTCAGCTCCTCTGGGAACTCGAGGAAATCACTGTTTGTCAGGCCTGGAGTCCAGGCTGGCTCACTGTTATTTTAGCTGTACGCCTACCCGCTGATGGACTGTCTAATCTTGATGACTATTCCATTTAATACACTAGTTTCCTGTCAATCAGCCATGGAAGGATCATCCTTTTCACGGTGGGGCACTTTAGGGAATTTAATTTTCAGCGGAGACAACACAGCAGCAGAAAGTGGGTCGTTATCGTTCCTGCTCCGAGGTTCACTTTATTTTTAGATGGGTGTTAACATTTCCCGAGGAACATATAAATCTCTCTCAAAATGTGACAAACCCTGCTGCTGATTTCTCACTTTTAATTTTATTTTGGGGGATAAAATTGTCCTTAGATGAACCATCAGCAGTGGAGCTCCAAGGATTAGCGGACTGAAAAAAATGACTGGGAACAATTTTGATAGCGATTAATCATTTGAAGTGATTAAAAAGTTGTGCGTTAATGGCCAAAACGTGTTGCTGATTTTCATAAAAATAGCCCCCCCCCCCAAGGGCTAAAACTCAAACCTTTCACCGCAAAGAACAAAAAAACACATGCGCTCATGAGCTTGCATAATGATGAAGATTTATTCTGCCTGTCAGGCCCTGATTGTGCTGCAAGAGCTGCGTTTCATGTTGCATTCTTCTGCTGACAGGGACCGAGAGGGGAGATATGAAATTGTAATGTAGCGCTCAACACAATCACCCTCCTCCTACATGAACTTTTGCACGTTCTCTAGCTCTCTTTCTGTTCCAGTTTCCATGTCATCATCACATCACCGCTTCTTCTTCTTATACTGGCGGATGGTGGAGGTGAGGTGGAGAGATGATGGTGAGGGTGGGTTGGATTCAGTGACTGACACCTCCCGGAGGAGAAAAGAAGGTTTTAGTGAATGTCTGCGCATAGAAAGAAAAACAGCTGGGGATTGTCAGCATCCACACACACACACACTGTAAGATGTGTTTTACCAGCACCAGCGAGGTCTTCTGCTGCCTGTTTATATTAAAGAAGACAGCTGGTGCCATCGGGGGGAGAATTCTTGGGGGAAAATGTCCATTTTTAGTCTGTGTCACAGCTGTCACTGCCTCACCTAAATGGCTCCATGAGTCAACAAGCACGCAACACATACACACACACAGTGTCCACAGCAGGACAAGCTTCAGGTATTTTATTCCGATGACGCAATCACAACCGAAGTAGTCTCAAGTGCCTAATTTAGTGCCCAAGTTTTACCCCCTCATCTCCTCAAATCATGCTTTTTCTAATTGATATAAACAACTTAGAAAACACAGGCGCGACCTGGATCTCCGTCACACCCGTGTGACCTGGTTTAATTGCTACTGACACACTGGAGCCCTTCCTGCTGCGAGGCTCCTTCCGCTGTCGGTTTTGCAGAGAGTCTCTGAAATATCAAATGGGGTTTTTTGAGACATAAACCGGTGTGAAGAAAATGGCACTGCTCCAGGAAATGCTGCATTAATAAGTATGACATATGCCATTTTCTAATCTTAAAGTCATCATCATCTCGGTCCCAGTCCTCTGGGTCATCTGTGACACTCCACCGACTGCTCTTTTGTTCAGGAGGCCTCTTATATATGACTTTAAACTTGAAATTGAGGCGGCGAGAGGTGCGGATAGACAGCAATCACATCTGGGTTTCAGTGTATTATGGCACACTCAATAATCTGCATCCATGCATCTTGAGTTTATTTTCTCGGATCCATCTGTCATACATTATTGAAATGGACAGAGACATCCTACCTTCCCCCTCCTGGCAGAGGGAGGAAAAGAAAACACTGTGGGGTGGAGAAGGGCACAGCTCTCAGCTTTAATTAACCACACAGGGCAGCTCACTCCTCCTCCTCCTCCTCTTCTTCTTGCTGATCCCCTCTGTGCTCCTCTCTCCGCTATGTGTGCAAATCACATGGAAAGAATGTTAAGTTTCCTGACTTTCAATTCAAATTCCAAAAACAATACACTGATTTCTTTT